ATCCGGGGCTAAAATTGATGGTTGAGGACATGCAACCTGAATTTCAGATTTTAGGGTGTATATGTAGATAGTTCTGATTTGTGTCTGTATTTCTGCTACTTGTTGGTGCTTCGGACCTAGGGACGACATCTATTTCTAAAAGTTAGATCACTTTTAAGCATGTTTAACTTCTAATATCCCTTTGATGAGAGGAAAGTACGCTGTTCGATCTTGCTTCTTTTCACCAGTTTATATATGTTAAAAGTTCAAGGAGAATAGAAGGGACGTAAGAAGGGCCGTGTATCGCTGTGCCTCTAAACTGAACGTATAAAATGCATTTGCCTGAATCCCTTTATAAAAATTTTAAAAATTGTTAAACCTTGAATTTTTAAAATAGATTTTTAAAAATCTACCAGTAGGGGGGGGAAAAATCAAATACCCACCTTCACTCTTGTGCAAAATACCCATCCCTCTCAAAGTCTTTTAAACAGCTCTCCGTCTGATGTACTGTCTACACAAACGCGTGGAAATAATCCTCCACACAGCAGGAGTCCTTGTCCAGGTCAGGAGGTTTTACTCACTGGAAGACCTTGACTGTGTCTTTCTATCTGCTCACCTACGTTCATTTTCACCATAAGGTGTTTGATTGTACGTGTTTTAAACATGTTGTTTATACATTCGTTTGAAAGAGTGACAGAAAGAGAGAGAGAGAGGTGCCTCCGTTGGCTCTAATATCCAGGGATGGTCAGGCTGGAACCAGGAGCCAAGAACGCCATCTGGGTCTCCCATACGGAGGACAGGGATCTAAGCACTGGGCTCAGCTTCTGCTGCCTTCCCAGGAGCCAGGAACTCCATCTGGGTCTCCCGTGTGCATGGCAAGGATGTATGGACTGGGGTCAGCTTCTGCTGCCTTCCCAGGAGCCAGGAACTCCATCTGGGTCTCCCATGTGCATGGCAAGGATGTATGGGCTGGGGTCAGCTCTACCTCAGTCTTCTCGCTTTACGTTCTTGTCCTGAACCCCTCATGATGCGAGGTAAGATCCCTGACTTAAAGAACGAAAACGATGCATGCATGTCACGTCCAGACGTGAAGTGAATACTGCAAAATGTGAAACGCTTTTGCGTGTGAAAACATATTTTAAACAAATGATTGCGAAAATGAATAGGACTTAGCAGGGACTACAAGCGCCCGCATTATCTAGAAGACAATTACTGATCAAGACAACACATTATGGACATTGAATCTGGTTTATATCAGAACGTGCAATGGCATGCCAATGGTCACTGACTCATGAATGAATCCACGCTTGCGTTCTAAACGACTGCCATGCGGTTCACGGTTCACGTTCGAAACTTCCTTCAACTGTGTCCAATATTTTTCTTTTTTTTTTTAAAAAAAGCACCTGATTTTATTCTCCTGTAAAGTTTTGTCGTTTCCTTACTTCTCCCTTTTCCTCAAATCTGTTTCTATGTCACGCGGCACCCCCAGGCACTGGACCCTGTCAGGATCGACTGGGAACTAAGACAGGCAAGGCGGGGCTTACGAAACAAGATAGAAACTCAAAAACAAGAATAACAGGCAAAATACTTCAAAATTTAAAAAAAGAAGGGCAAAAAAAAAAATAAAAACCTTCCCTCGGGGGCTATCAGACCACCCAACTGAGCAAACAAAACGCTTCAGTCCACAGGAAAATAATTCTGATTCACACACAGAAAACACTGCAGGTGCAGTGATGCCGGTCTTTGTGTGTTGACTTTGTGTGTTGACTTTGGGGGGTCGTTGCTTTGTTCTCTTCGCTCACTTCTTTCCATCGTGGTGTTGGGTATGAATGGTCCTCACTGCCACAAGGACATCATCGCGTCGGCCTGTTGGATGCACTGATTTTTAACCTTCTGCTGTTTTTTTTTTGGCTGCGCATCCAGGAGTTATAATTGGAACAGGTGCTTTGCCAGCACCCAGGAAATTCTACTTCTTAATGAGCTCTCTTGGGAGTTCCCCGAGCTTGTTAGATTCCCTCTCGGGCACATTTCTATTTATTGCAAATTTTGATTTATTTTTATTTTAGGGAATAGCTTTGTTCCTTCCTCCCCCTTATTTCCTTTTAAAAAAAAATAGAAAGTATTTCCTTTTTTTAAAATTCAAAATAATCTGTTCGTAGTTTATGCACTCAAATCATTCTAAAAGACTTGGTGCAAAAATAATAATAATAATAATAACAGTCTTTGTTATCTGTGCTTGCTCTCTCGGGTAATCAATTTTTCTCTTTGTTTTTATCTTTCGTGCTACAGTTGCATAGGCACAGGGGCTTCCCCTTGCACCCTCTCGTTCCCCCCGTCCCCTGTCCCCCCGCTGCCTCACGTTATTGCTGTAATACAGTCCTTCGGCTTGCTTTGGCCGCAAGGAAATGCTTGCAGCGGGAGAGCCGCGAGGTGAAATTTGTCGTCTGCAGCGACAGCTGATGTGATTGTCACTGCAGCTTGAGAGCCCCTCTGAGCGAGCACCTTGATGGCTGGTCACTGCACAGGCTGTCAGCAGGGAACCCCAGACCCCAGGCGGCTGCGCAAGAAGCGTCAGACTGCTGACACGGGTCGCTAAGCCATGGCGTCCGGGAGCTGAGCTCTTCTCGGCGCAGTCACAACCTCACAACACTTTCAAGTTGAGGGGTGTGAATCCTGAGTCGAGCGCAACCGTGCGGGAGACCCAGAGGAAGCTCCTGGCTCCTGGCTTTGGATGGGCTCAGCTCCAGCAGCCCACTTGGGGAGTGAACCAGGATCGGTTTTTTTTTTTTTTTTTTTTTTTTGTCTCTCCTCTGTAAATCTGCCTTTCAAATAAAAGGAGATAAGTCATTAAGAAGTTATCTGCTGTTTAAACTTCTTCCGATATACACAATAGTAGCAAGTCCAGTATCCGATTGCCAAGATATGTTGAAGTTTCACTGGGAGTCCATCTTTTATTCAGGAACAGAGACACACACCGTAATGTGGCTTCACTTCTCAGTATGCTGGTCTCCATGACACTAGTATGCTCCATTCTCTAGTTGAGTATGAGCTCATGGCTATTTCCCTATCTGTTTATTGATCTTTTCTTTTGCATGACGGTTGTCTTATATCAGAGAGAACATACAATATTTTTCCTTTCAGCGTTGGCTTATGTCTCTGAGCATAATGGTCTCTAGTTGGGACCATTTCGTGGCGAATGATAGAATTTCATTCTTTTTTTTAATGCTGAGTAGTATTCAACAGCATAGATGTACAGTTGTTTCTTTATCCGTCCCCCCTTCAACGGGCACCTGGGTTGTTTCCAAGTCTTTGCTGCTGCTGCAGATCGGGCTGCTGTGAATATAGGATTATAGGTCACCTTCTCATATACAGACTTTATTTCTTCTGGGTGTATTCCTAAAGCAGGGTCGTTGGGTCATAGAGCAGAGCAACTTCCAGCTGTCTTAGCACTCTCTGTACTGATTTCCACAGTGGTTGCACTAGCCTGCACTCCCACCAGCAGCGATGGAGGGTGCCTTTCTCCCCACATCCACGCCAGCAGGTGTTGTTAGTAGAGTCTCCCCGGAGTTTAGGTGGAACCTCCATGTGGTTTTTACTTGCATGTCCCTGATAAATAGGGAGCCCGGACACTTTTTTGATATGTCTGTCAGCCGTTTAAATTTGTTCTTTTGAAAAACGTCTGTTCATTCCTTTCGCCCATTTCTGCACAGGGTTGTTTGGCTGGCTGCTGCTGTTGAGTTTCTGAAGCTCCTTGCAAATCCTGGATAGTAGTCCCCGGACAGTTGTATAGTGTGAGCATTTTTCTCCCATTCTTTGGGTTGCTTCTTCACTTTGTTGGCTGTTTCCTTCGCTGTACAGGGCTTCCTTGAGGTAGTCCCATTTGTCTCCTCCCCGCCCCCCCAAAAAAACCCACTGCCTGTGCTTTTGGTAACTTTTCTAAGATATTTTTACCAATGCCTATGTTTTTGGAGAGTGCTTCCTACGTTTTCCTCAAATCGTTGGATGGTTTCTGGGGGTGGGCAGATTAAGGTCCTTGATCCATGTAGAGCTGAGTTCCATACGAAGTGAAAGGTGGGGCTCTTGCTTCTCATTCCTGTTGTCACAGTCTGCCACTGTGTCCTTGAACATCTGAAACAGTCCCCTCCACGGGGTCTTTGCATGACCCGTGTGTCTCTTGCCAGATGTATCATTTCCCAGGCAGTGTGCACCTGCTTTATGTTCCTTAAGCTCTTCAGTTTTGTTCAAATGCCAGCTTGCTTGCTAGTCTTCCTAGCCTTATAAGCTGAGTTATGGGAAACTAAGTACATCCCTGGCCCAGCATAGTAACCTGGAGACCAAGGTCATTGTCCTGAATGCACCGGGATCCCCTACGGGAGCCGGTTCTGATCTTGGAGGCCCCGCTTCCCATTCCAGCTCCCTGCTTGTGTCCTGGGAAAGCAGTCAAGGGCTGCCCACACGGGACCCTCCATCCACATTGGAGACCCAGAAGAAGCTCCAGGCTCCTAGCTTCAGATAGGCTCAGCTCCATCTGTTAGGCAGCCACTTGGGGTGTGAATCGACGGACAGAAGATCTTCCTCTCTGTCTCTCTTTTTCTCTGTATATCTGACTTTGTAATAATAAAAAAACCCAAATACATTTTTTTTTAAAAGAAATACAGTACAATCAATCTAACCCCATGTTCCGAAGCTCGTTGCCTTCCTTCCCAGCACGCGTCAGCATCCTGGGATGTGTTGCGTGATTTGTCTTTGTCCACACTTCTTCAGTGTTAGGGACGTCCGTGTCTCAGCGACGCTCACACACTGTCGAGACCGTGCCTGGAACACGGCGAGACGTCAACGTGCCACGGTCAAGTTCATGCGCAGCCTCGTGAGGAAGTGAGGGGCACCGCCTAGGGATTCCTCAAAGACAGAGCAGAGGGGTTCTTAGAGGGATCCAACAGATTGGTGAAAAAAATTACAAATGGCGACGTTCCTGCCGATTCCCTCCCGTTCTCGCTCCTTGCGGTAGTCACATCGACGCCATGGAAGCCAAGAACGAGACGCGCTTTGTGGAATTCCTTCTCCTGGGATTCTCAGAGGACCCGGCCCTCCAGCCTCTCATCTTCGGGCTGTTCCTCTCCATGTACCTGGTCACTGTCATTGGGAACCTGCTCATCGTCCTGGCCATCCTCTCTGACCCACACCTCCACACGCCCATGTACTTCTTCCTCGCCAACCTGTCCATGGTGGATGTCTGCTTCTCCTCCACCACCGTCCCCAAGATGCTGGTGAACATCCAGATGCAGAGCAGAGCCATCAGCTACGCGGGCTGCATCACACAGATGTTCTTTTTGTTGCTTTTCTCGGGATTGGACATATTTTTGCTGACCGTGATGGCCTATGACCGCTTTGTGGCCATCTGTCACCCCCTGCACTACGCGGTCATCATGAGCCCTCGGCTCTGTGCGCGGCTGGTGCTGGTGTGCTGGGCCATCAGTGTCCTGAATTCCTTGTCGCACAGCTTCCTGGCGCTGCGGCTGTCCTTCTGTGCACACTTAGACATCCCCCACTTCTTCTGTGAGCTGGACCAGGTGGTCCACAGGGCCTGTTCCGACACCCTTCTTAATGACATGGTCATCTACCTAACCGCCATGCTGCTGGCTGTGTGTCCCCTGGCTGGAATCCTGTACTCTTACTCCAAGATCGTCTCTGCCATCCGTGCCATCTCGTCAGCTCAGGGCAAGTATAAAGCCTTCTCCACCTGTGCCTCTCACCTCTCTGCCGTCTCCCTATTTTATGGCACACTTCTAGGTGTGTACCTCAGCTCTGCTGTTACCCAAAACCCACACTCAACCGCAACAGCCTCTTTCATGTACACCGTGGTCACCCCCATGCTGAACCCCTTCATCTACAGCCTGAGGAATAAAGATATTAACAGAGCCCTGAAGTCATTCTTTGGGAAGGAGACCAGAAGTATGTCAGGTAATTCACCTTGATAGAAGAGCTCTTGGGGCCCGGTGCAGTAGCCCAGTGGTTAAAATCCTCGCCTTGTAGCTGAGGACAGCTCGAAGCCTTGGGACCCTGCACCCGCGTGGGAGACCTGGAATAAGCTCGTGGCTCCTGGCTTCCGATAGGCTCAGCTCCAGCTGTTGCGCTCACTTGGAGAGTGGACCAGTGGATGGAAGATCTTCCTCTCTGTACATCTGACTTTGCAATAAAATAATAATAATAATAATAATAATAATAATAATAATAATACAGCTTATCCAGCTTTCTGCCGCTGCTTCTTCCTGTGTCTTCATCATTTCCCAAACGTATTCCCATCCTTACATCTGCGTGTTTCCCAATTTCCACACGCATATTAATTTCTCCGGACGAATTCCATTCTTGGATAAGTCGTACTGAGTTATTTTTATTCTCTCTCTCTCATTTAATGAAAGGAACACTGGTCAGTTTGAGTATTCCATGCATCAGAACACACTGGGCAACTGAGAATGGTTATTTTTTTTTTAGGTTGTGGACATTGAAATGCACGCTTTTCATGTGTGAATCCATGATGATTTTGGGTCCTGGACCTTTCGCTGCCTTTCCTGACTTTAGGGTATTCTGTGTTCACAGCTGGTCCCTCGCTTTATCCTCTCATTGCAATCCTGTCTGGTGACGGGCACGGGGTGGTTGCCTGGCAGCTAAAGCTCTGGCCTTGCACGCACGCACCCGGGTCCCATACGGCCACGGGTTCGTGTCCCGGCAGCCCTGCTTCCTGTCCAGCTCCCTGCCTGTGGCCTGGGAAAGCAACTGAGGATGCCCCAAAGCCTTAGGACCCTGCACCTGCGCGGGACAGCCTTCACGGTGGACTCACAGAGCCCACGATGGCACACGCAGCTCTGCTGCAGCCACTGCCACCGGAGGGGCCACGCTCCAGGGGTCACGCCCGGCAGGCGGGGAGGGACCCAAAGCTGGGGCCTGGCTTCTGCCCTCAGCGGTAGAGGGCCACAGCTCACGAGACCCCCCAGCCTCCCGGGGGGCTGAGGCTTCAGCTTTGAGCGTCGCCCTGGGAGCCCACAGGACCGATCCTGTCCTCTGTAGGCGCTGGGTGGTCCTGGGGGTCACCATGGAGGGTGTCCCGGGACCATCAGGTTAGGGCCTAGAGGAGGTGCTCCCTCTGCCTGGAGTTAACCACTTGTCACCTGACTTAGGGCCCCCCACCCAGAATGCAAATGAGCCCCCCAGGAAGCCTCAGACTGGGGACCCAGCCAGGCGTGAGGGAGGGAACCAGAACCTTCCCGGCATCCCAGGGAACTGTAGGGAAAGGTTACAAATGCCAGCCAGAGTGAAAAAGTTTATTATTAACTTGTTTCAACCCGAAAACGAGGGCACACATGTGGAATCGGGTACAGCACGTCCTGCAGCAGCAGACAGGCTGGGGTGGGGGGGTCGGGGAGGGAGGGAGGGAGGGAGGACCAGCCGGACCCGGCTCCCTCCACCCTGCTGGAGCGAGGCAGGGAAGGGGCTCCGGGTGTCCGCACGCGGCAGTGTGAGCTGCCACAGGCCAGGCCCAGGAGGGTGAGGGACACCACAGCTACGGGGTCCAGGATGCGATCCCCGTCTAGGCCGCCATCACCACGGGGGCGTCATGGGCTGAGGGTTCTGCAGATAGGACATCACCACGGCCGAGATGGAGAGCCTGTGGCGGGGAGGAGGGAGGGGTGCGTTGGGGAGGGAGGGGGCTGCCCTCGGACCGCCCCCCTCTCGGCTCCCCCTCTCCAAGGCCTCACATGAAACTGCTCATCATCTGCTTGGTGTCCTCGGAGCTGCGCGAGTTGGCGAAGCTGATGAAGGAGCAGTAGACGGCGACCCAGGCGCACCACTTGAGCTGCGGGGAGGGGCGGGCTGCTGAGGGCGGCGGGGCACCTGCAGCAAGGCCCCCCCGCTCCCCCGATCGCACGGGGGGTGCAGGCACCGGCCGGCTTGCGGCTCGCTCACGGATCCCGGCACGCAGACTGCCCGGGGCCTGATGGTCAGCGGGGCTGGCTCCCAGCCTCAGGCCCCGGCCCAGTCCTCACTGGGGGAGTGGATCCACAGACGGACGCTCTCCGCATCCGTCCTTATCCGGCCCCGCTCTACCTCCCAAATGCTCCCTAGAAAACGTACAGATTGTTCACACGATTCCTGTTTGGTTGGGACCTTGGCCCGTTTTCCGCTCTTTCCTTTAAAGATCGCATGAATTTATTTGAAAATCTTAACAGAGACAGGAAACGCAAAGGTGGCTTGCTCCCCAAACGGTCGCAATGGCCGCAGCCAGGAGCCTCCTCGGGGTCCGTCTCGGCCCATCCCCTGCTGCTTTCCCAGGGGCACAGGCAGGGAGCCGGACCGCGGGTGCAGCGGCCAAGATTCCAACTCATGCTGGCCCTGCAGACGGCGGCTTCACCCACGGAGCCCCGGCGCGGGGTCCTCACCCTCAGCTCTGCGCGTCCTGGCCTCGGTGTCCGGCCCAGGTGCCCTGGCCTTAGGCCTCCCCACATGCGGACCACCACTGTCATTCCAGAAAGCCCTTCCAACTTGCTTCAAAGGCTGAGTTCGGGGCCCGGCACGGTGGCCTAGCAGCCAAAGTCCTTGCTTTGAACATGCCGGGATCCCATATGGGCACCAGTTTTTTGTTGTTGGCGGAGGACTTTGACCACTACACTATGGCGCTGGGTCCAGAACTGGGCACCAGTTCTAATCCCGGCAGTTCCACTTCCCATCCAGCTCCCTGCTTTGGGCCTGGGAAAGCAGTGGAGGATGGGACCCTGCACCCGCGTGGGAGACCCGGAAGAGGCTCCAGGTTCCTGGCTTCGGATCGGTGCAGCTCCAGCCGCTGAGCTCACTTGGGGAGTGAATCATCGGACGCAAGATCTTCCTCTCTGTCTCTCCTCCTCTCTGTACATCTGACTTTCCACTAAAAATAAGTAAATCTTACAGAAAAAAAAAAACAAAAAAAAGAAAGAAAAGGCTGAATTCATTGTCTGGCCATCTTATGACCCAACCAGGACCGGTCAGGTTCCTCACCACCTCAGCCAGGACTGGCCTTAGGCCACGCCCTCCCTAGTCGGGCCCCGCCCCTCCCTCCTGTGACCCCGCCCCTCAAGGCCCCAGGCCCTGCCGCCAGCCCCGCCCCTTCTGCCTCTGACCCCTCCCCTCACCAAAGGTTCCGCCCGCCAAAAATCGGGCCCGCCCCTTCTTCCCCGCCCCGCCCCTTTGCCATGGCCCCGCCCCTCGCAGACCAGTCCCCGCCCCCTCTCCTCGACCCGCCCTCACAGCCCAGGCCCCGCCCACAAACACCGGGCCACGCCCCTCTCCGCCGACCTGCTCTCACAGCCCAGGCCCCGCCCACACAGGCCCGCCCCGCTTCCCCTGAACCCGCCCTCTCTCCGACCAGCCCCGCCCCCTGACCCCGCCCTCCCTCCCCAGGCCCCGCCCACCTTGAGCATCAGGCCACACATGCTGAAGATCATGCCCAGCAGGTTCATGTAGTCGGGCGTCGGGTCGTCCAGGGCCGGGTTGCACTCGCTCGGCGGCGGCTTGTACCTGAGGCGGGGAGGCTCGTACGCTCAGCCCGCGCCCCGCCGCCCGCCCCGGCCCGGCCCGCCCCGGCCCGCCCGCGGCCTCACCTCAGCACTTTGTTGGGCCTCCGTGGGTCCGACATGTTGTTGGCGGACATAGCGAGCGGGGAGGCCTTGTCGCCGCGTCCCTTCCGCTTCCGGCTCGGCGAGGGGCACTGGCCGCCCTGACGCTTCCGTTCCGGCCGTGCTGGCCGAGTGTCCCTCGAGAGAGTGCGGAAGGGACGGGGAGGACCGGAAGCGTGGAGCCGGAAGGGACAGGGCGGACCGGAAGTGTGGCGCCGGAAGGGACAGGGCGGACCGGATGTGTGGCGCTGGAAGCGCCGAGCCGGAAGCGACCGTGGGGCGAGGGGGACAGGCACGCCGCAGTCGCACCCATGGCTTTCCCGGAGCCCAAGGCGCGGGCGCCCGAGCTGCCGCGGAAGCTCGTCCGGACGCTGGCCTGTGGCCAGGGCGCGGTGCGCGCCGTGCGCCTGAACGGTGAGCGTCTGCTCGGCGCCGGGGCCTCCGCGCGCCCCGGACCGGGCACCCCGCGACCGCTGCCCCGTGTCCCCCCACAGTGGACGGCCATTACTGCCTGACGTGCGGCAGCGACAAGACCCTCAAACTGTGGAACCCGCTCCGGGGGACGCTGCTGCGGACCTACAGCGGCCACGGCTACGAGGTGCTGGACGCGGCCGGGTGAGCCGGGGCGGCGGGGCTGGGCCCTGACCCGGTGACCCCGTGGGGCTAACCCTGCTGACCCCGTGGGATCTGACCCTGCTGACCCTCTGGGACCTGTCCCGGCCGACCCTTGGGATCTGACCCGGTGGGATCTGTCCCGGCTGACCCTTGGGATCTGTCCCGGTGATCCTGTGGGCGCAGTCCCGGCTGACCCTTGGGATCTGACCCTCTGGGACCTGTCCCAGCTGACCCTTGGGATCTGTCCCGGTGATCCTGTGGGCGCAGTCCCGGCTGACCCTTGGGATCTGACCCTCTGGGCGCTGTCCCAGCTGACCCTTGGGATCTGTCCCGGTGATCCTGTGGGCGCTGTCCCGGCTGGCCCGTGGGACACTGACCCGCTGTCCCCATTTGTGGCACCCCTGCAGCTCATTCGACAACAGCAGCCTGTGCTCGGGTGGCGGTGACAAGGTGGTGGTGCTATGGGACGTGGCCTCTGGGCAGGTGGTGCGCAAATTCCGAGGTCACGCGGGGGTGAGTCGGGGGCCCCAGCCCTGCCATGGCTCCCCTGGGAAAGCCTCATCCTGTCCCAGTCCATCCCCGCCCCAAAGCCCGGCTGCCTCTGAGTGGCAGTTCTGTCTCGCAGAAGGTGAACACGGTGCAGTTTAACGAGGAGGCTACGGTCATCCTGTCCGGTAAGTCTGGGATCTGGGGAGCTGGGCCGAGGTGCTGCGCCCCTGCCCCCTAAACCTGACGCACCCCCACCTTCCCGTGCGCCTCCCCCAGGCTCCATCGACTCCAGCATCCGCTGCTGGGACTGCCGCTCGAGAAAGCCAGAGCCCGTGCAGACGCTGGCTGAGGCCAAGGACAGCGTGTCCAGCGTGAAGGTGTCGGATCATGAGGTCCTGGCGGGGTAGGTGGAGCCAGGTCCCTCCTTGTCCCCAGCCCCACTGGGCCCTGGAGGTGAGGACTGCCCTGGCCACCATTCAGGGCCGACACTGTGCAGGACCTGCCCCAGGCACCTTTCAGCCCTCTGCTGGTTTCTGATTTTACTTACTTATTTTTTTTTTACATTTACTCAGTTGATTGGAAAGTCAGATCTACAAAGAGAGACAGAGAGAAAGATCTTCCATCTGCTGAGCTGATCAAAAGCCAGGAGATCCTTCCAGATCTCCCACACGGGTGCAGGGTGCCGAGGTGGCTTTGGGCCGTCCTCGACTGCTTTCCCAGGCCACAAGCAGGGAGCTGGATGGGAAGTGGAGAGCCGGGATTAGAACCGGCCACCCGTATGGGATCCCGGAAGAGGCAAGGCAAGAATTTAGCCAGCAGGCCCCCACGCAGGCCGCGACAACACATTCATTCTGAGACTGAACAGGGGATGGGTCCTGTCACGGAGAGCCGAAGGAAGCGGGAAGGCAGGACTAGGTCAGCCTGGGTGGGACCGAGTTGCTTCGAGAGAGAGGAGGACAGAGCAGTGACCGTGTGGCCAGGGTCAGCTCTGTTGTGCGGACAGAGGCGCACCCATGGGAGCCTGGCCACCATGGGAAACGTGGCTGTCTCCTGATTTCGCTTTCTGGAAGTTCCAATGAGTGTTCTGGTTTGCTCACCTTCGCGGAGTACAGCTGAGTCCAAGAACTCCTTGTAGACTCTGCCCGTGGCCGGTGCTGGCGCGGTCCCAGCTGTGTCCCAGGCGCACACACCTGGCTCCAGACCAGTCCGGCTCTGGCCATCGCTGCCATCTGGGGAGTGACCCCGGGGGATGGAAGCTCTCACACTGCTTGTCCACCTTTCAAATAAGACAGATCTTTACAAAAAAACACCACACTGGGAGTTATGCTGGTAGAACGGTGACAGCGGGGACAGTAGACACCAGTGCCCGCGGTCAGCGCAGATACGACAGCTGTGGACATGGAACCTGTTGCTTCCGGAGCTCACCTGCTAGCAAGGAGCCCGAGAACGTGGGGCGACGGGGGTGGGTGGGTGGGGACCCAGTATGGCTCAGACTGCCGGAATGTCAGAATGAGAGTGGACAGTGTGGCCCTTGGCGGTCCCCAGTGGCTGCGGCTCCACTGGTGCGTGGGAACTGGCCGGCCGGGAGGATGCCCGGAGCCCCGGAGCTGCCAGCTGCAGCGTGGCCCGTCCTCTCCTGCAGCTCCGTGGATGGCCGCGTGAGGCGCTATGACCTGCGGATGGGACAGCTCTTCTCCGACTACGTGGGCAGTGAGTGTGGCCAGGGCTGGGCAGCAGGGCAGCAGGGCAGCTGTGGTCCAGCCTCCCCCCGCGCCCACCCACACCTCCTCCTCCTCCTGTCTCCCCGCCGCCCGCCCAGGCCCCATCACCTGCACCTGCTTCAGCCGCGACGGGCAGTGCACACTGGTGTCCAGCCTGGACTCCACGCTGCGGCTCCTGGACAAGGACACTGGGGAGCTGCTGGGCGAGTCAGTCCCCCTTGGGGTCACCAGCCAGTGGGAACCATGCCGCCAGGACCCCTCTGACCCACGCCCCTCCTCCCCTCCCAGGTACACGGGCCACAAGAACAAGGAGTACAAACTGGACTGTTGCCTCAGCGAGCGGGACACGCACGTGGTCAGCTGCTCGGAGGACGGGAAGGTGTTCTTCTGGGACCTGGTGGAGGTGAGCCCACGCCAGGAAGGAGGGCCTGGGGGAGGTGAGCCCACACCAGGAGGCACATGCAGACAAAGGCACAGAACCCACCAAGGTCTGCAGGAGTGGCGCCCACACACAGACCCCTGACCATAGGACTCTGGGATGGCCATGGCAGGCCCACCGGTGCCACGTGGAGCCCAAGACCCACCACGGGCCGTGTTGGACCCCAGCAAACCTCAGAGGCCCATCTGAGCTTCCAGAGGGGGGCGGGAGAGAGCAGGGATTCATACCCAGGGCACTGGCCTCGAAGGGGACCAGCCTCGTGAAGGCCTCAGGCGAGGACCGACCTTCCTTGGCCTCCTTGCCCCCAGCTTGGGGACCTCAGGGAAGGGGGATCGGCCAGAGGGCTTGTGTCCAAGGCCCCTGGCACCAGCCGCTTGGGGAGAAGGGGTTTACTTAGGTCTCAGAAATCAAGATGAGCCAACTGCCCGAGGGCTCGTAGGGTGGGGCGGTGACCATGAGCAGTGCTTCCGCTGGCACCTGCCACGACCACGAGGGGAGACGGCTTTTTTTTTTCTTTATTTTTGATAATCTTTACATAGGTGATTAGGGCACAAAAGTCCAGGGCTACAGGAAAGTGGGTAAGACCATTGTTTCCACATTTTTTTTCCTGTGTCTGGAGTAGAGGGGGAGATAAAGGGAGAAGCCCTACCCAGCCTCCCACCCATCCCAGGTCCCCGACGTGGGGCATGCTCCAAGGGTCCTGCTCGAGTGGTTTTGATAGTTCAACAGTTCTGAATTGCTCGCCATTCCAAGCACGATGAAGTTGCTGCAGAATCCACTGGTTGACATAGTCCACCTTAGAGTCTCCGTTCGCCCAGATTTTCACTGCCAACACGTGGCTGGGTAGTTGATTGATTTGTTCTGTCCTCCATCCTCTGTCATGGTGCCAGGTGCCCTCTGCAGGTTCCGATGGGCTACCCTATCCTCCGTGGGCACCTGGGTATGCTGTCCACTGCTCCGTCTGAGCCTCTGAGGAGGCTCGGCTCTGGCACTTGCACTCCATGGTCAGACCATGGAACCTGCGCTTCTCTTCATGGTTGGGGTTCTGAGTCTGGCAGGTTGATTGGGGAGATCCCCAAAGAAACTTTGTCTGAAGTGATCCCAGACCAGATTCTTGAGTGTGCATGCCAGTACAGGGCCTGGCACAGTCCCTCGCCCCGATCAGCTGGTGGTTGCAATTGCTGGGTCAGTTCTGTTTCCAGCCCTGTCTTCCACACGAACCCATGGGTGTGTTGCAGTCCAGCCTGATTCTGCCCAGCACACACTCAGCCCTCACGCAAACCAGTGGGAGCTGCAGCCTGGTTGGGGCGACTCCCCATAACCCCCACCATGCCCGCCCCCTGCCCTGGTTCCCGTGCTTGCCAGTATGTGCAGCAGTCTAGTCCAGTCTGTCCCACATCCCATTGAGCTCTCATACGTGTCAATGGGCATTGAAGCCTAGTTCAACCCAACCAGACCCACTATCCAGCTCACGCACATGCGGACGGGTGCCTTTTTTTCCAGCCACCCTGCCCCAGTCCTGGTTTTCGTGCCCTCCAGTGGGAGTTGTAACCCAAGAGGGAGGTGCCCACTGTCTCCCTACCAGGCCTCTCCCACTCCCGGATTATGCACTCTCCAGCTGGTTCTGCAGTTTAACTTGACACAATTAGCCCCCAGTGCCAGCCTCTGCCCGCTGATGCTGGCACAAAGCCCAACCAACCCTCACCCACTCTAATTTATGCTTGCACCAGTAGGAACAGTCAGTCCAGCCTGGCTTTTCCCTGATCCAGCTCACATGAGGCGCACAGATGTTGTAGCCCTGCGTGGTCTGGTCTGCCCCCATCCCAGCTCAGGCTCTCCAGGGGCAGTGGCTGTCCAGCAGGG